AGGGGAGTCGTGGAAGTGGCTAGACTTTTCAACGGCTTATTAAGAACTGGCCACTTCCCGACAAACAGGAAACAGGGCAAGATAGTCGTGCTACCAAAGCCGGGTAAGGATAGGAGGTACCCGGCTAGCTACCGCCCCATAACGCTATTACCGCACATAGCTAAACTCTTTGAGAAAATTACCCTCCGGCGCATTCTACCGCACATTACTCTGCGGGAGGAACAATTTGGCTTCCGCAGAGCACATTCAACCACAGCCCAACTAGCCCGCGTGCTACACTACCTGGCGGCCGAGTACAACCGCGGCCGCATCAGCGTGGGGGTCTTCTTAGATATGGAGAAGGCCTTCGACAGAGTGTGGCACGCAGGACTACTTCACAAACTAAGAGAAACCACCACCTTGCCGCCAATGCTTGTGCGGCTAATAGCGTCATTCCTGGAGGGGCGGAGCTTCTACGTTAACATAGAGGAGGCTGTCTCGGTAGCACGACCGATTGAAGCGGGAGTGCCGCAGGGCAGCTGCCTATCACTCCACCTGCACGCGGTGTATACCAATGATATCCCCACACTCCATGACCACCTGGAGGAATGGGAAAACGATGTTGTGTTCGCGTTATACGCAGACGACAGTGCGTACTTCGCGTCATCTCATCGGGTAGAACTCGCGGCTAGGAAGCTGCAGAGACTGCTGGACTTGCTGCCTGACTGACTGGACAAGTGGAGGATGGCGGTCAATGTCGGGAAGACCGCCGCCTTCGCGACCAGGCTGAAACGCACCCTACCAACCTTGCGACTCCGTGGGCAAGACGTAGGTTGGAAAGGTACTACCACCTACCTAGGATGTCAGATAGATCGCTCGTTGCGGATGACTCCAATGGTCAACCACGTAGGCCAGAGCCGCACGAGCAAAACGCTATCCCATACTGGCATCCTCACTCCCGTTAAAAACGAAAATATCCATCTACAAAACTTACGTCCGCTCACAGCTAACCTACGCAGCGCCAGCCTGGTACGCGCTAACATCGACCACACAGCGCAGGAGGCTGCAGGCCCAGCAGAATCTTGCGCTCCGGACGATCGTGGGAGCAGGCCGCTACGTAAGAAATGACCTCATAGCCAGAGACCTTAAAATAGAGCCCATACATGAATTTGTGGCCCGTACTGCGAGACGGCTGTTCGACCGCGCAGACAACGGGCCACATCCCCACCTAAACAACCTGGCACCCCTACATGCACGCCCACCTGATGGGCGGCCACTCCCACGAGAAATCCTACTCTCACCGCCCGGCGAGGGAGCCGCTGGGGACGAGTGAGCAAGCCCGACACCCGGCCTGATGGCGTAAAGTGCGCAACACTCTAACCTACAAGCTGCGTGGCAGCACCCAAAACCGGGGGAGCCGTGTCCACCCGCGATGACACCCGGGAAAAGAGGGCCTCCTCGAACCCGTAAACCTCCGTAAGGAGATGACATACTACTCCGCACAACCACATGTTACGGTCGCGAATCATACATAACAGTCTCACACTGACCTGCAAATTGCGAAAAACGTAAGAAAATTTGAATTTCACGGGCTACCTGGTGTTTTCACCTTAAACTAAAAAAAAAGTCTATAAGATACTTACGCATCATAAACTTGTTCAACAACTGTGTATTTACAATAAGGTAAAAATAATACCACCTTTGTATTTGCAATTAGTTTGAACACTATTTACGAATACGTGTGTACTAAATTTAAACGATTTCTTTTATTTTAATGTTGATCGTGAACATCGACCAAAAGGCTATAAAATATGCAAATTCATCAGTCTGTCACCACAGTGATTCTTTCTCTTTATTCTTTTCATATTCTTACATTTTCATCCGATCCTGAGCTATGTTCATCATTTCAAGTATCTAGCTCATCGGGAAGTTAGTTTAAAATCAATTACTAAATTCGATTCGAAAAGGCATAGTCGAAAGAGTTAATAAAAATGTGCCAAAAACTAATGCATATATTCCGTACAACGGGGAGGTCCACATCCCGCACTGCCAGCAATTTTTGGACTTCTACCTCTACTTGTGCCAGAAAAAAGCAAATTACGGATAGTCTTAATTGTATATTTGGTATGGTTTAAAGGAACTATGTCCGAAAACAACCAAAAGACACCATTATCATCGTCATTGCAGACCATCACAAGTCCACTGCTGATCATAGCCCAAGGAATGCCACAAAGGGTGATCAGGAGCCACCTGCATCCATCAACTTCCTGCATCTTTTATCAGTCGTCATACTATCTAGTGGGGGGTCCACTATACTTCTCTTATTGGTGGTACCAGGCTGTCACTTGTGAAAACTATTCTCCGTTAGTTGTAGGTTCTTCGAGCTACATTACCCATTGCCACCAGCTTACTGATCGTTAACATACACCATAATATCTGATACGTCATTATTTAAATAAAAAACTTATTTTACTTTTAAGAATATATTTATATACAATATCAACAATGTTTATTTAAACAACAAAGAACTTTCCGTCTATGGAACCTTAACTAAAACATAATATAATAACTAAACTTTATATAACTTTGACTAAGGAAAACATGTGAAATTACTAAAATAAATAAACTAATACTGGGATAATATGTCTTCCCTGATATATTTAGATAGGTCTTGTGCACAATTTATTATTACCGTTAAATGCTCCACCGCCAATGTACTTATCTCTTCCAAAATGTAACAAATATTATGGCTCTCATAATCATAATTATCAAAATAAATATCAAAATTGATTTCAGTTATTCTCTTTCATTTTTTTCTCATTTCACTTTTAAATAAGCCAGCGATAGAGTAGGGTCGTTGCGCTGGTTTTCGGCCTTTTAGTGGAGTTGTCAACTTTAAGGTACTATAAAAAATAATAGCGATTATGTTGACCTAGTGTTGTTAATGTTAATTTATAGCTTATATAATGTAGTTTTCATTTTGATAACTCATTAATGCTACAAAAGAAATCTATTTTTATAATAAATTTTGATGTGAAAAATATGCAAAACGCTAGTTTTCGGCCCCAAATTTTAGATTTCGGCCTACAAGAAATTTAGATTTCGGCCTACAAGAATTTTAGTTTTCGGCCACTGTATTAGAAGAGGTAATATAAACTTAAAAGTGTTTTTGTAAAATCAGAAAATGCCAAAACGGTTTGGGAAATCGGTGTATTTAGTTTTCTCAATCGGTGATTGCGATTTTTAACCGTGACGTTATTTTTTTCTTTTTGGGTGTGTTTTTGATATAAAATAATAACCATGATTAATTATTTCTCTTTGAATCATAATCTAATAATACAATCTTTTAAATATAGCAATCAAATATTCTCATTTACGAGTATTTTGTACTTCCTCATAAGTATTTTAGTTTAACAAAATCTGTTACCATATCTAACCATTCTCATTTCTAACCAAGAGGAGCCATCTGAAGAAAAAAAAATTTCTTTTTTGAATCTTCTTCCTAAAACGCAATATGAATAAAATATTTGATATGATAAGATGAAATGGCCGTAAACGTAAACTGACAGCATTCCATTTTCCGCCGCCGTATTCTTTCATACAATTTTAAGTTGGCCGAAAACTAAATTGTATATATTTTAGAGTCAATCCAGTTTTCGGCCACGACTGAAATGGGTATTTTGTTTCATCACTAACTGTTCAAATTGCAGTACTTGGTGGCCGAAAACTGAAAGTTAGTGTCTACGCACGCTACGATTCAATATAAGTAAGAAAGATGAGTTATAGTACGTAACCAAATAAACGAAATAGACAAAGTATTTAGGCTAAACTCAGGCTACTTTTCGGCCGCATGGCCGACAACCAAATAATGGTACAATTTTGTGTCGCTTTTCGGCCACTTAATTTATTAACTTTATCAATAAATTATTATAATAATCAGTGTCAAATAACTATATTAGGTTATTTATATAGTGAAATATAAGCACAATATTAAGTAATTATATTAAATACAGCACGAAACTTACTTTTGAATGGAATGGAACGCTCGCCACTATTTTTTTTGCTCGATCTTACCCGTTTTGATAGCTTCAGTGTCGGCGTCAAACTAAACTATTTATTATAAATCGCGTGTTGTGTTTACCTGACTAATTAATGCTACCGGATATAGTGAAACTATTTACAAATGCATTAAACTGTATTTCTTACGATAATATTTATTAAAATTATTATTAAATTAAATTTACTGCATCAGCTCGTGCCAAAGGCCGAAATCTAGACCCGGCCGGCATACCGGCGCATTGACCCTATCAGCGGTTGCGTGTAGTCCCTGGTTAAAGGCAACCATGTAAATAGCTGTATACGAACATGATAACTTTCAATATTGGAAAACAATACGCAAAGAACTGCTAGATCATCGTCATAGTCTTAAAATAGATTTCTTTAGATTTTTTCAGTCTTTCTTACTGTGTCACATGTCATAATTTTAAGAATGTTCATATAAAGATTTAGATGCATTTTATTTGGATTTAGGTCTCAAATTTTTTTTTAAACATTACATACATATTATTATGTATCTACATCCTCTAGATTTAAAAAGAAGAGGAATATTTTTCCGCTTTCCATATTGAGCACTTTCAGAAGTTAAGTTTAGTTTTCAGAATTTAAGTTTCAAAGACGAGCAATGTCTTCCAACAAAATAATAATTAAAGTTTTATAAGACATTGAGGCAATGAATAATTTCGAATTCGTTTCAGTATTCAATTCAAACAAACGTTGTTTCAGAGAAACACGATCGAGTTACGGACGCCGTTAGGCGCTTCCGGATATTTTTAACCCGGAGAATCACTTTTAAATTAAGCCCATGTAAATAATAATAATAAAATTCTTTACTTCGACCATCTACAGTCATAGCTTGTTGGTAAAGCAGTGGACTTTTATAGGCTATAATGGAAACACATTGGTAAAATAAAAATTAAATAAATTCAACGTTTTAAATCAACTAGAATATTTTGACTTTGTAATTAGTCGCGATCGTTGGGCCGCTCTCGACAGATGATGGCGACGCGACGTTTCCGCGGCAACCTCTCCTCCCGCCACACGCTGTGTTCACCGCCCAACACTGCGTGCGAAAATTCGTAGCGAGCCACGCCACTAACAAAATAATAACATTAAACTTTTGTCACAAGTAATTAAAATATTTTACACTAGCAACTAGCGCTGGATTTGCCTGATTGCCTCGCTACTCTGGGTATGATCTAGTAATGTGATAAAGATAAAGATAACTAACTGTGTACAATATGATCTTAGTACAAAAACATATAGATAGTTTTAGGCTCAACAGTTTACCCATTTCGGATATGCAACAATTAAAAAAAATTAAAATTTACCACTTACTAACATTAATTTTATTAAAAAAACTCATTGAGATTGTAAAAAACATTTTCAATTAACAATTTCTTTAATTTTGTTTTGAACATATTTCCATTTAATTGTTTAATAGCTGGTGGTAACTGAATGTATACACGAGAAACAATAATATAGGTACTTTTATAGTAAATCATATTTTTAATAATAGGTAAGCTTATATCATATTTATATTAACTTTATTTAGAGTGACTTTATTTAGATTTTAGATTATCTTCTAAAACTTAAAATATAGCTAGATTACTCCTAGAATTAAAGTAGGTAAGTAAGTGACAGCCTATACACGTCCCACAGCTGGGCACAGGCCTCCCCCTCACGAAAGAGGGTTTTAGCGCAAGAAAGTGTCCGCCGCGCTGCCCTAATGCGTGTTGGCGAACTTCACTTGTATTCGAAATAATTTTTTTTCTTATTCCTCAGACATGCAGGTTTCCTCACGATGTTTTCCTTCACCGCCGAGCACGGCGTAAATCAGCACTTAAAATTACAATTAACAATTTCATTGGTGCCGGCGGGGATCGAAACCAGGTTACTCGCGTTCCGTTATATTTACAGCGAGCGTTAACCATCTGAGCTACCACGGCTCTCCCAGCATTACTCTCTATCTATTCGTAAAGTTTCTCTACAATCGGTTCAGCCATTTCAAAGATTAGCCCAGACAGACAGATAAAATTTAAAAAAAAAATAGTAATTCATGTTCTTAATGGCATGTAAATAACTTCCTCAGCTCAATAAAAGGCAGTTATTTCGACAACAGACAAACACTTTCATTTAATTTATACGAACAGATTTATCATGGTGATTAATGGGGGTGATGCTTATCATTTTTTTATTTGACCACTGAATTTTTTACTGTAGATAAACAAAAGTTACAGCCTATATACGTCCCACTGCTGGGCACAGGCCTCCTCTCATTTCTGAGAGGGTTTTAAGGCAAGGAATAGTCCGCCGCGTTGCCCCAATGCGTGTTGGCGAACTTCACATGTCTTCGAAATATTTTTTTTCTTATTTCTCAGACATGCAGGTTTCCTCACGATGTTTTCCTTCACCGCCGAGCACGTGGTAAATCAGCACTTAAAATTGCAATTAACAATTTCATTGGTGCCGGCGGGGATCGAACCCGGTTTGCTCGCGTATTGTGAAATTGACAGCGAGTGCTAACCATCTGAGCTACCACGGCTCTAAACTTTAAGAGAGTATATATATATATACTCTTTACCGAGATCCATCATAGCAATAACTTCCTTGTACTTATAGTGTATTAATCAATTTAAACTCAAACAATTTATCAATTATAAAATGATTGCGGTTAATTCAATTTCAACTAAAAACAAATGGAAATACAAACACAACATTGCAAATATTTTTTTGAACTAAAATTAATTTATTTACGCATGCCTTACTTTGAAACTAAAAATAAAGTAACACTAACACAGAAATTAAAATCTAAGTCGGTTGAGGGTATCCATGCACTACAAGAGCCACCTTAAGTTTAGAAAGACTGTGGGTCCTTGTTTGTAATGCTAATGTTATTACAAATGATAGAATTTAGTTCTTAAAATGTTGCCTTAGTATGATGGTTTACAGCAGATTCTCTCACCTCATGACATAGAGGCAGCGGCGTTCAAGCAATGCGTCCAACTGAAGTTCGGGTCGCGACTCGTGCACTAGTCTCATGACTGCGCTTGATAGAAGACAAAGTCCAGCTATTGTGTTGCCGCAGAACTGTCATATGATAATAAATAATTTTTACATTTATAAAACAACATTAAGCTATTATTGTGCAGAATAATTAAATATTTTTATACCAGTCAATTTGAAACTGAGCAAACATTTTACTCGATGGTTAGTGTTTTTAACTATTCTAAGCCGGTGGATAAATACTATCCCACCCACCTGACAGTAAGGGGTGATGAAGCCGAAGGAAGAAAGGACTTAGCTTAATAAAAGCCTATTTACTCAAACTAAAGACGCCTACATTGTAATTATTCCACTGCCTTGCTGTATGCATGACGAACGATGAAGCAAACTATTTGGTTCGAATTCATGTTAAGTCAACAAAAAAAAGCCTCGTCGTTGCCTCGTTAGTCTAGTGGTTGTAGTAGTGAGACTGCTGATAATGAGGTCTTGGGTTCGAATCCCGGGTCAGGCCTAAAATCAATTATTGAGTTTTTCTGTCAAGAAATTCTCAGTAGCTGCCCGGAGTCAGGAAGTTGGCGGTGTCTCACTCCCGTGCCTCGGAAAGCACGTAAAGCCGTTGGTCCTGTGCCTGATCTTTCTCCCGGTCGTGTCGGTTTACCGTCCCATCGGATTACGAGAGTGAGGGAATAGAGAGTGCACCTATGCTTGCGCATACACTTGGGCACTATAATCCTGTCCTGCGCCGATGGCTAGCCTCCGTAGGGGCTGGCCGCTGTGGCCGAAATTCGGTCTGGAGGACATTATTATAAGTCAACGATGAAGAGGAAGAAGACTTCTAACATCCTTGCAGATGCTTTAGACTTGAACTCAATGAACCGCCCGAAGTTCAGGAGATTCGAGGAGATATTTCCACGAGGTTCGATCTAAGCTCCAACAATTGAAGGCGGTCGGTGTACTCCAGTAATACATTAGAAAGAAGGAACCAAGGTGAGCTGGCTTTTTTCCTATAGACACCTATCTATCCTCGATTAAAAATCATAATACATATTTTTAAAGAAAGGTGATCTATCAACATATTCCTGAGGACTGCGATGAAATGCTTCGTAGCTAGTAAAAAGGGATCCGGTTCTCGACATCTACATTTGTGCTTGCAAATTTTGTACAAAACCTACGATACTAGTTTGTTACTTATTAATAAAATTGCATAATGTTTTGGCAGACACAGACTGACAAATTCTGCAAATATTCGGAAATTATTAACGTGGTTGAAATCGTCTTAGGGAATATCTTCTTTTACGTGCCTTGCTTACCATCCTGTTATAATATAAAAATTAAAAATAAATGTTCTTTGTTTATCCTGTGTGCTTATCAACACAATTCATTTGATTATGACGAAACTTTGGCGAGTTGTTTTGCGCACGCCCGCGCAAGAATCTGACAAAAAATAAATATTTGTTTGTTTGTATTCTATGCAGGCGTTCCTATAACAATCGTCTGATATCAATTAATGCTTTTCAAAGCATGCCAGACACAGCTAATAGATTATAAAGGTGCCAAGAAAAGTGCTAGCTATCAAAATTCGTCGGCTTATTCTGAGAAAAAGTTGTAAATATGAAGTGTTTTGTTCAATGACGGTTGGACTAAATCAGTGAACCAGCACGATGAAGTGATTAAAACTTATCAACTTATATTTTAACTACACATAAGTACATAATCTATCTATATAAATAAAATGATATAGGTTTGCAGTTGTGCGCGCATCACGGAAAAACTACGGGATAGATTCCAATTAGGTTTTCAAAGTTTTATTTCTTAGACACTTGGCCCTTATCGAAAAAATTTTTTGCGATATCTTCGTTTAATATAAAGTTATTAAAGTTTTGAGAAAGCGGACGAAGTCGCGGATTACAGCTAGTATACTATATTATCTAAAACTAAAAGATAAATGTAAAAACAATGACATTCGCAAGAAAACGAGAGTGATAGACGCATTACATTACTCTCAAAAATTGAAATGGAAGTGGGCAGGTCATGTAGCACGATCTACAGATACCAAATGGACTAAACGAGTAGCCATGTGGACAGGACCAACAGGCAAACGCAAGCAAGGAAGACCGAAAGAAAGATGGGTCGATGAGGTTGAAAAGACAGCAGGAAAAAATTGGTTAAAAATAGCACAGAACCGGAAAGAGTGGGAAAAGATGGAGGAGGCCTTTACCCAAAGAGGGGTCCTTAATTGAAATATATATTTTATTTTATATTTTCTAAGCGTACATATAATTGTTGTATTGTAAATATTTTCTATTAAGGAATAAAGAGGCTTTATTATTATTATTATTATACTATATTTCAATGCTCTGATAACATGCCCTACCTCGTAACATAACTCAGGTCGTTTCACGTGATACAATGTTTCCGTGCCGTCCTCCATTCTGTGCTGATCACATATTAAGCTGTAGGTACTACTGTGTATAATATACCATGAGACCTGAGCCTGATGACGTCACAGCGGCGTACTTGTATAGTGTGCGATAAGAAGTCGTCTTATATCGTAACGAGACTAACGAACGTCGCACGCTGTACAAACAAGGGCGCACGCAGGGACGTGCGACGTGGAAATGGCGGGGTCGTCACATTCCACACGAGTCTCATGTTATTGTGTACGCGGAATAGGTAGAAAGAGAATTGACCTTACCCTGACGGCATCGACGTGTGGTTTAATATATCCAGCGGCGGCGAGGTCTAGAACATGCGCCCGAGGCAGCAGCACCGTCTCGCGAGAAAACGCTACTTCACGTACGCGATTCAAAACCGCGGCGTTCCGATCACTCCAAGACTCGCGTTCCGTTTCACGGTAGCCTTCAATGGCCTGGCAACAATTGATATAATATACTTAATTCAAGAGTAAATAGAAAATATTTATTTTTATTTATCATTTTAGAATCAAGACAAAATTATGCAAAAAAAAAAAAGATATTATATAATTAATGAAGTAATGTAATATTACTAAAAACTATATGTACATGTTTATTAAAGTCTCAGCAAAAAATAAAAACAATATTCTATTCAAAATGGCCACCTTTGGCTTTTATACAGGCTTTTAATCTGTCTCGCCACGAATCTATGGATTTATGCACTGTTTCCATGGGAAATTTCGCCACTGCTTGCTCCAGAGGTTTTTTAAGAGATTCAATGTTGACGTGTCGTTTAGAGCAAGCCATGTCCTCTAAAACTGACCGTAAATTGTAGTCTAAAGGGTTGAGGTCTGCACTAGATGAGGGCCAGTCTTCAGCTCTTATAAAGTCCGGAACGTTGGTTTCAAGCCAGGCTTGGGTAGTTCGTGCCTTGTGACCTGGTGCATTCCCGCTGGATAGGCCACAACACGATCCAATACTGTCTCTTGATACACTTTGGATAAAGTTTTCACTCCTTTTTTTCACAAAAATGTAAAATGTAATGACGCCTTGATAAGACACGCCCCACCAAACCATCACTGACGCAGGATGATGACCACATTGTACCTTTCCGACCACTTGAGCAGCTTTTAGAACTATGAGCGTACACTTTATCATTTTGCTTATTGTAGTGCCCTTCAATGGTGTAATTTTTTTCATCGGTAAAGAGGATATTTCTGTGCCCTTCACCTGCATACCACGACAGAAGGCGTTTTGATCGATCTACTCTCTTTAATTGTAAAGATTGATTTAGGGCAGTGATGCACAGACTTATTAAGACTAGGGGCCACTCGGGCAAATTATGAACTGATGGCGGGCCGCCAGAAGTATAGGTAATTATGAACTGATGGTGGACCGCCAGAAGTATAGGTAATTATGAACTGATGGCGGGCCGCCAGAAGTATAGGTAATTATGAACTGATGGCGGGCCGCCAGAAGTATAGGTAATTAAAGACAATAAAGAGTTGATAATAAGCTATTAAAATTGAAAAAAGAATTTATTAATTTGAAGCGTGGCACTGCAGTGCTTACAATCTTTTTTATATTTGGCTCAAATTTACTAGTAGCAACACGTAAAAGTGCTTCCAAACTTTCATTTGCAAGGCGGTTTCGATTTTTCGTTTTATTATTATTTAGTATTGAAAAGGTTTGTTCACATATGTAGGTAGAACCAAATAAGCTGGCACATTTCAGAGCGTTTGTGCGCAACTCTTTGTACGTATTTTTATCAATGCAGCGGTAAAAGTTCAGCAAGTCTCCTTCGTTGAATTTGTTGCGTAAATCTTGGTCGTTTTGAATGTCGATAATTTCTAACTGCATTGACTCTGGCACATTTTCAACTGAAATCATGAAAGGATTGCTGAATATGTCCAACAGAGGTTTCACTTTTTTAAACTCCGAAAATCTGTCTTGAAAAGATTGAATCAAAATAACTAGCTTTTCTACATAACTGAAATTAATCGCAGTTTTGTTGAATTTTTCAGCCATTTTCTTATAATTCGGAAAATGATTGTAATTTCCAGAATTCAATTGCGATCTGAAAAGTGTCAGCTTGCATTGAAAGGATGATACATAAGCGTAGAGCTGGGATATTAGCTGATTTTTGCCTTGAAGCCGTGTGTTCAAGACATTCAAATGATTTGTAATATCAACTAAAAAAGCCAAATCACACAACCAATCAGGATTTTTAAGTTCCGGGACATCCCTTTGCCAGAAATATTCCAATTTCTTCTATTAAATTTAGAAATCGTTCCAGTGTCAATCCACGACTTAGCCACCTTACTTCTGTATAATACAGTAAATCTCCATATTCGCTTTCAATGTCATCAAGGAATTGTTTGAATTGCCTGTGATTGAGTCCTCGTGATTTTATGAAATTTACAGTGGAAACTACCACTTTCATGACATTTTAAATTCAATTTTTTTTTTAGAACAGAGAACCTTGCTGGAGAGAACCAGACTTTATATATATATATATATATATATATATATATATATATATATATATATATATATATATATTCTAGGATAAAGATAAAGATATTTATTTTGTAAAACATGAGTAAAAAAATACAGGTGTTAAAAAACTTAAAATGAGCTACATGTTTTGCCATTTATGGCGTACAAAAATTATACTACATATATTAATTATTCTACAAGACAAATTAACTAACCCTACGTTCATAATTTTAGACGTGCAACAATTTCAATGGCATCTCGTAAAATTGCATTAGAGAAATTTCGCAATTAAGCTTAAAGAAAATCAACCACTTAAGAAATCAGGCAAGCTGTAATAACATTTGGCTATCAGATATGTTTTAAGATGTAGCTTAAAAAGTCTGGTAGGCAATTGTTTGATGTGTTTGGGAATTTTATTATATATTATTGGCGCCAGACAGAAAATACTTTTATGCATCAATGCCGTTCTTGAACCAACTGCGCATAACCTACTATTATCCCTGCGATTGCGAATTGTAACGTCCGATAGTTTGTTAAACAGTTTAGTGTTATTTTGAACGAAGTTTGCTACTTCATATATAAGGAGGGTAAGCTCAAAATGTGCTCAATGAAATATGGTTTGCAGCTATCATTAATTTTAAGACCGAACATAGCTCTGATGCACCTTTTTTGGGACTTAAATATAATTTCCTTATATAGTTCATAAAAGATAGCTTGATGTCTGCGACAGCTGTCAGTAAAATCACGCCTATGAAGTCCTGAATTTCTTAGTAGTACAGACAGTACCTGTCAATGTCATACTTTATGGGCATGCCGACCTAATTAGTGCATGCCCATAAAGTATGACATTGACAGGTACTGTCTGTACTACTAAGAAATTCAGACTCAAGGCGTGATTTACTGACAGCTGTCGCAGACATCAAGCTATCTTTTATGAACCATAGTAGAATTTCCCCAAAATATGATGCGAAACCCCAAGATGGAATCAACAATACCATGGTAAGCCGTGAGAAGCGCATCGGTACTTACGACGGATGAGAGTTTATAGAGCGCATAAGCAGAAGAACGAATTCTTTTGTTTAGTTCTTCTGTGTGCGCTTTCCAGTTCAAACTTTTATCAATGGTTACACCCATAAATTTTGATGTATCTACTTGGTTGATTTCTGTCCCTTGGTAATTTTAAAATTAATATTTGGTGTTGCTAAGCGTTAACTGAAGTACATAATTTTAGTTTTTTGAAGATTAATTTTTAAATTATTATTATTTAACCAGTTTATTATTAAATTAATTGTATTATTAATTTCACTTTCAAATTTATCCTTATTGATAGAGTTTATTGTTACCGTACTGTCATCGGCAAATAGCGATATTGGATATTTTGTAATTTTTGGTAAATCATTTATGTAGATGATGAACAACAAAGGACCTAACACACTCCCTTGTGGAACACCGTATTTAACTATTTGTTTCTTTGATATGCATATTTCTTTTTTTTTTTTTGGTGTTAATATTTATTCTAGAAATTTCGGTATATTGTGTTCGATTTTTAAGATGGGATTCCATGAGATTTAATACGTTTCCTCTGATGCCATAGGCTTCTAATTTATTGAGCAGAATGTCATGGTCAACATAATCAAAAGCCTGAGTCATGTCGCAATAGATAGCGCATACCGGTATCTTTTTTGTCAACATTCATCATCACTCTATTCAAAAAATCAAAAACAGCCATATTTATGGTTTTGTTTTTGCGGAATCCTTTTTGGTCTTCTGTAAGAATATTTAATTTTTCTAAAAAGTTATAAATTTCTAAATATATATATTTTCCACAAACTTTTGATAGTATAGACACAAGCGCAATAGGTCTATAGCAGTTCATACTTTGTTTGTCATCTTTTTTAAACAATGGCTTAACAATTGAATTTTTTAAACTTTCGGGATAAGATCCTGTGCTTATAAAAATATTCAAAATATGGCTGAGATGATCACAAATGTAATAAGCAACATACTTTATAACTTTAGTTGAGATCCCATTATGCCCTACACTTGTAGTATTTCTTAGTGATCTTATGATTTTAAGTATATTGTATGGTGTACTCGGTGCCATAAACATTGACTGAGTTGATTTCACAATATTTGAAGTTACTTGCTTTCCCGTGCCCGATATAGGTTTTATTTTATCTATAAAAAAATTGTTAAAGGCATTTGTGATCTCCTGTAGACTAGTTAAAGTTTTATTACCTACTTTTATGGAAACGATCATATGCTTTAGCACATTCATTTTTGATCTATTTATTATTGCCCACGTCGCTTTAGATTTATTAATCGCCGTTTTTTATTTTATGGTTGTTTTGAACTCGTTGTGTTAGTTGGATAATTTTTTTAAAAAGCTTAGCATATTTTTTAATTTTTATTTTCTCATTTCGCTTAAGCCTATAGTTCCACATTAGCTCTCTTTTTTTTGCTACAAATTTTTATTCTACGTGTTAGTCATTGCGATTTTTCTTTAGTTCTAATGGTATTTTTTTTAAAGGGAAGTAAAGTATCTATAAACGCATTGAAGGCTGTGTTTGGATTATCAGTATTATAGATTTCAGAGAAAGAACTGTAAATATATTTTAATTTTTTGCATGTTTTCTTGGCTATAGTCACTAAGCCACTGTTAATTATGAAAGTTTTATGAACCCGTAATTTCAATATTTGTGCTGTATGGTCTGATAAGCCAAATTCTAATACATCGGATTCACACTTCTTCAGATTATGTGCAAAGTTATCGATGCACGCAAATCCATGCTACTGAATGTTAAAATCACCTGCATCATAATTTCTCTTTGTTTTATTTCTATATGAAATGTATAGTAACAGCTTTCCAATTGTTCAAAAAAGGAACTTCTTTGTGTTATAAAATCTGTAACCGGATTTCACAGCTGAACAGGAATAATCATCAGTAGAACAAGAGCAGCTAATCAGTAGGCTGAAGTATGAATAGGGCGCATAAATAGATTGAAGAACCCACAATTGATGCATGCACAGATGACTGCAGGCGAGCCAATAATGTTTGAAAACCAGAGATGTGACATTTTGAAAATAACAGTACTTGAAATGCAAAATACAAAATACCTAATTCTATTTTGTATTTAAATACTTTTTTTAGAAAAGCATCATAAATTTTATTTGAAATACCTTTTATATAGTGCACAAATGTCCATATTTTGTATTTTCAAAATGCAAAATACTTTTTGCTAAGTTATATAATCATCAAAGAATTAATAATTAATATGATGAAAAATTGTTCTTTCTTTTCTCACTATGGCAACACTGAATTGAACTGCTTTCATGTCACTTGTCAAGCCACACTGCCACATATAGTGGTTGAACCGAACGAACGAATGATCTCTTTTTACACTTTTAATAAAGTTATCTTTCTTTCCGGAGAGGAATATAGGAACGGAGGGAGACAAAGAAACATTTTATCTTCCATTCATTACAAATAGGACTATCCCATATACTGTGGAGTACTGATAGAGATAATAAAAAAAAGCTTAGAAAAGAGATTTGGAAAATTTAATGATTTGAAGGTTCCTAAAGCTAAAGATGCAATTTTGGCATCGGTGTCATATCTACTAAAAAAATGAATCCTACTACATGTTATATAATGATTCAGATTCCTCACTAGCTAGTGATAGTGCAAATGCAAACACCACTATTGACCTGGAATCATTGCAATATTTAAAGGATAATGATGTCAGCCTGCAATCATTAAATAAATACTCTACAGTAAAGATGTTATTCCTGAAATATAATTCCTGCTTGCCTAGCTCTGCGCCGGTAGAAAGGCTTTTTTCTTATAGTGGCATGATTTTGAGACCAAACAGGAGAAATATGAGCGACAGTGTATTTGAGCAAATTATTTTATTAAAATCTGTTAAGTAAATTTAATTTAAGTAAGTTATCAATGTAAATTTACCAGCCTGTTCGCTGGCTGAATAAACTTAAAAATAAATAAAGAGAGTTTAAAACAAAAAAGTATTTTATTTTAATAAAGTATTTTGTAAATACATATTTTGCATTTAGTATTTTAAATATAAAATGAAAAACTATTTTGTATTTTGTATTTGAAATACCAAAATACAAAAAGTATTTGCATTTTGCATTTAAATACATTTTATGACCTATTTTGCACATCTCTGTTGAAAACTCCTGTCTAGATGCAGTGATGACCTAATGAATCGTGCAGGTAGTCAATGAATGGAGGTGGCTCAGGTCAATGCTTTGTGGCAATCTATGGAGGGAGACCCTTCACCCCTCCAAAGCTCACGTGAGGTTTTTCAAAATGCTTATTTTTAGTGGAAATATGTTAATCTGTGCTTAAAGCATTGTATTTATATAAAAAAAATTGCTTGATTATTTTTATATAAATTCTGGAGTTCTCATAACTGCAATAAATATCACTGTGTAGGATTGAGCCATATTATACTTACCACAACAGCCTATTTAAGTCCACTGCTGAAAATAGGCCTCCACCATAAATTGTCTTTGTTTGCCATAGTTGCCACGCTTGGCAAGCTGGTTGGCAACTGCTGTTTTTTATTTTTAGTTGTTATTAGGAAGATGCTGCTGCCCATCTCCTGATTTGTTTCCCTCTGTCGCCTCCAACAACACCCACTGGATAATATAGAGTAGGGAATATTCTTACGCCATCACTACACGGTAACTCGCCACTATATGGTGACTGTAACAACATAATATTTTACTTAATTTTCTCATTCTACCCAATTTTCTCAAAATTTGACACTGTTGCTTGTGGAAAAAATATTATGTGATATTGGCCAAAAACCTCCCTCTCCCCCATGTGAGATATGGTGAGATTCGGCTCAACCCCTCCTTCCCCTAAATACCTCATATAATTAATGGACGGGGCGTCCATTAATAGTAGTTATATATTTTTGGTACTCAATGTACATGCATTTATATATAGTAACTTAAATAACATATTTAATCAAAAGAAACAATACTCACATTGTCCCAATGGTCATATTCATATCGTAATTTTTTGAGTTGCGGCTCAACCTCAGCAAGCAAAAAAGCCTCCTCTTCCTCAGTTACAAAATTTGGGAAGATGCGCATAGTGCTGATAGCTTTCATTCTCTTTTCTAACTCCTCTGCTGGCCATGATGGTGACACTTCAATGTAGTTAGTATCAGATAAAATACCTGCCAATAGGAAATTCATTCAAAACATATAATTTCTTAACTTCACATAAACATTCGTGTGTATTAAAGTTTCATTCATACATATTATGGCTGCAGCATGAATAGGTTAGCCAAGAGAAGAGCTTACTTTTATGGAATAATTCTCATACAACCCTACACAAGTCCCTGCTGAACATAGGCCTCCCCGAGGTATGCCACAAAATGCTGTCTTGAGCTACTTTTCCAAAAAACTAAATATGAAGTAGACTTTATAGTTTTCTGTGTAATTTATAGGAGAGTATGTACATGATCTATGGTACCTTTTCAAAAACCAACTTGTTTGGGAGACTGGAAGTCATCAAGTCTACATGCGAGTCTGAGATTTTGAGACTACTGAGAGTTATCTCAAAAACAGCAGATAGATGTAGCTCAGAAGTGAATTTGGTATTTCTGGGGCATGAATATATGGTTGTAGAGTGGGAGGGGGGAAGGGTGGGAACCTCCCCCTAAAAGGGGGAAGTGCGAGAACCCCCCTCTTTTTTTATGAATTTTTAAAGTTTTGTTACATATAGAGGCAAAATCGCTTTCGCTTATTATGAAAAAGGTCATCTGACGAAAAAGGTGGGAATGTGGGAGTTTTCAGGGTGGGAACAGAACCGTGGGATAAGCCTCTGCTGACAAAAAGGTTAAGATCAGAAGTCGCCAAATTGAGGTTATTTCGGCTGTGTCAACCTCAATTCGTCTGCTCTGGCACTTCAGCGGCCGCTGCCGCTGCACACTCCCTGCGCTCGCTAGGCTCGTGCGTTGTGGTCAACGTTCTAACCTAACCTGGTGGCAAGCGTCAGGTTAGTTTAGATTGCGCCTAACAGACCTATGTTGTGTTTGTGTCATTCATTATGTGTGTGTGTATGTGTTTAAAATTAACACTATTTTGATTCTTATTTCGTTTTCGTATCTTTTTTAATGGATATAACCTAAAAATATTAATTATCTATATCTCGAAAACTAAAGATTTCCGTCATAAAAAGCAGCTAGATGATAATCAATAGCATCATTGCCTGTCAACGAAAGCTAAAATGATCACTTAAATCATGCCGCAGATTATTAAAGCCAACCCAACAAAACAATTAAGTAGGTGATTGATTGAGGTTTTCGCTCAGTAGAGAAGAGTATATTAAACTAAATTGATAACAAATTAATTTAATTTACCTAATGCATTTGGCTCGTTGAACTTTACTTGATTCACGTCACTGTTATGCCTTCGCAGCATTGCATAGATCATAGGTTTACGTTTAAAATGTCGAAGAATACTAAAGGTGATCATCCGCATTATTCATAGATTTTCAGTCACTGAATTGTTGTAATTATAATAAATACCTATTAAATGAATTTATAATTTTCTTTTATATATTTATTAGTTTAGAAAATTAAGATCCACAGTTATACACCCTTAGCAATAACTATATTATTATTAGATATTATATTATAGATCTCACTCTCAGGACCTCAGTCCTATACATACAACTTTATAATTTGTTATTCATAGATTACTGAGTATATACTAGAGATTGTTAATTGTGGAATGTGGACCAAACGTCTACGTTAACGTTATGTCATGTCATTATGACAATCAGATCAGCTGCTTAGTTTTTTTAATTTTTTTTATTAACTGGCTTTACGCTCTGGGTTCTAGCCCTTCTGAGCATTTTTTTAAATTTGGTTATGACCATGGAGGTTAGAGAGAAGTAGAACATAGTGTCCCAGAAATATGGACAAAATAAGTGTGGCGCTGCGATCGTTAAGTTGTCTCAATAAAGGTCATTTTCAGTCTATTTTTCCGATCAGATGCTAAATGACTTGTACATCCACGCACAATACAATATTTCACATTTTTTTAATGTTTCTTTTTGTCAAAAATTGAAAAATTACGGAGCACAATTGTTTTCTCACAATATCTGCGAAGTTAATCTTCGCGGCTTTGGTGACAGCGTAGACAGAAAAACCTATAGACTAATGGTTAGCGTGGCCTCGAATGAGAAAGGATGATAACCTAGTTTTAGGTTGTACAATAATCTTTATGACTTTTAAACATATTAAGATAAAAATTTTAATTGTTCTAAGAACTGAACTGAACAAGATTCACCAATCTTTAGCTCACAATACACTTTTTCTCACTTAAACCAACTTGTAAACTCCTCAGATCGCTACGAACTGTCAAAATTGTTTACCGAAGTGTGGTTTGCTAAACAAAAAAAACCGGCACGGAGAAAGGGGCAAACAATCACACCGCTGTCTCATTTCTATGCAAGACGTATGCATAAATCTATCTTTTTTCGTGTGCGAACGCGAAAGAAGGCGTCAATTTGTCTGTAGGTTTCTCTGTCTACGGGTGACAGAGAGTAGTATCATAGTAAAGTAAAGTAAAGTTACAGCCTATATACGTCCCACTGCTGGGCACAGGCCTCCCCTCATTTCTGAGGGGGGGTAGTATCATAGATTAGTATCATAGAGATGGATACAGACACTTTTACGAATTGGTTCGAAAATAATTATTACCCAGCCTGCCAGAGCCTTCTATCATAATAATGGACAAAGCTTCATATCACTCGAAACAAGTGAATAAAGCGCCTACTCAGGCCGACAAGAAAGCTGATCTCGTAGCATGGCTACACCAAAATGAAATTGAAACTACTGCCGAAATGCTAAAGTCTGACTTAGTAAAGTTGGTACGCGAAAATAAAACATCAAGAGTCCGTTATGAAGTAGATGAGATAGCTCTAGCACATGGACATCGGGTACTTCGAATTCCGCCTTATCACTGCCAGTACAATGCCATTGAGCTCATATGGGCACTAATCAAAGGTATTGTTTTTTATCGCATAAGTTATGAATATGAATAATTTGTACTATTATAACATCCAATATTCAGCATATAAGTAAAAAGATACATAACTAAGAAATAAATATCTCATGTCCCTTACATGTAGGTAATTGTGTAACATTTCGTTTATTTAATGTAATAAATTAACGTTATTTAATGTTTACATTACAGGTTACGCAGCTCGTAATAATACGACTCCGCCATTCAGTACTAATAAAATGATGGGTCTATTAAAAGATGCTTGCGGCAAAATAACGAAAGAAGATTGGGTCAAGGTCGTCGAAAAGACTCGAAAACTAATAACAGAAGATTATGAACGCGATATAAGAGTGGACACCATTATAGAGAATGAAATTGTCATACAAGTGACTGATAGCGATGACAGCTCTGGCGAATCTGGTTCAGAGTCTGAATAATTGTTTTAATAAATGATAGGTAGTCATTTATTAAAACATCTTGTACCTACTTTATACATTAAAATGTGTAACAGTGTTTACAAATTTGTTTTATTTTGATATGTCCTCGACCAATTATCTACGCCCATCAAGGATACTCCACCTAATAAAGAACTTGTGTCTTTAACTATTATTGTTTTGATTTTATTTAATTACACACTATACTAGAATATTTAAAAACAAACTGTTCCCAAATGATATTAGGGTTACTGGTTCAGTCACTTCACTAGTATTGTCAATTCGTCATGTGTCAAATCGGTAATAACTCAGCGGCCAAACTTTGGTAGTTGTTTATATGTTTCTTGTGCTAATTGTTAGTTCCTGTTACAAAAAATTAAAACCGGATATTTTTAAAATGTTTATTGTTTAAAAATTCTTCACTTATTGAATACATACATACATATACAAAAAACACTCACGCCTGTCACCCAGAGGGGTAGGCAGAGACTACAGACTTCCATTTGGCACGATCCTTACACACCCCCTCGCCTCCTTCACTCCTACACCTCCGCTATGCTCGTCGGTTAAGGGTACTCCTAATTTGGCCCGTTTTCAATAAATCGCCAATTTGGTCGATAAATTTTCGCCTAGGACGTCCCTTTCCGACTCTGCTATTCACTTCTGCAACATAAATTTTCTTTGTCACTCTTTCCTCATTCATTCTTTCCACATGACCAAACCACCGAAGCATTCCTTTCTTAATCCTGGTCAGAACATCATCTTGCAAACCACACTTCTCTTATTACACAATTTCTTACCCTGTCATTAAGATTCAGCCCTAACATACTCCTTAACGACCGCATTTCTACTGCGTTCATTCTACTCTCGTGCTTCTTCTGCCACACCCAACTTTCACTACCATACGTTAAAGTAGGGACCAACACAGCATTGTGAATTACCATACGTGCCTTTTTCGACACATTTTGACTCTTCACAATAGAGTGCAGGGCCCCATTTACTCTATTTCCCGCATTCACTCGTCGTTCTATATCCTTATCATATCTCCCATCCCTGCTAAATACGTAGCCCAAATATACAAACTCGTCTACTTGCTCGATGAACTCCCCTTCTATTCTTATTTCACAAATCGTTTTACTTTCTTCTCTTTCAAAAACCATAACCTTCGTCTTACTTGCGTTCACTTTCATTAAAAGAAAGGGGTATGACCCTTTCTTTTAATGATCTGTTCATTAATGTGACCATCATTTGCAACTCGGCCGCCGACGACGCAAGGATAACTTGATCATCGGCGTACAAAAGGCATTTGACGGTTAACTCACCCATTCTTAATCCGCATTCTTCAACTTTCAAATTTTGCAAACAACTGTCCATAAATAGGTTGAACTGCCACGGGGAAGCCACACAGCCCTGTCTGACACCTTTATGGATGTCAAACAAGTCCGAGTAGACCCTGTTGACACTAACACAAGCACTAGAGTCCCTATAAAGGGACTCCAATGCCTGTATCAAGCCAGCCTTCAACCCAAATGAGTTCAGTTTTTGCCATAGCACATCCCTATTCACTCTGTCATAGGCCTTTTCCAAGTCCATGAATGCACAAAAAGCCTTTTGGTTTTTGGCCAAAAATTTCTCCGCGATCATGCGCATGGAAAAGACTTGATCTGTACATCCCATTCCCTTTCTAAATCCCGCTTGCACATCCCAAATTTTTCCATCAGTTTCTTTCATGACCCTTTCAATCAGTACCTTAGCATACAGTTTTCCCACAATGCTAAGAATGCTGATGCCACGGTAGTTTTTACAGTCCTGCTGCGACCCTTTTTCTTTATATACTGGGACTATCACGGCTTTGCACCAGTCTACCGGTATCCGCTTCAGTTACCAGCATAAATTAAATAAGGTGTGCAGCATGCCTGCTACCACTTCCTCTCCAGCCCTTAGCATTTCGAGTGCAACTCTATCATATCGGGCAGCCTTACCTGCTTTCATGCTTTTCATTGCTTTCATTATTTCATCTATACTTATCTCGCTACCTCTTTCCTCTTCTTTCGGAATTTCTACTTCACTTAGTACACACGTTGTCTCCTCACTCATAAACACGCTTTCAAAGTATTCCTTCCATCTCTTTAAACTCAAAACTGCATCATTCAGAATATAGCCATTCTCGTCTCTTATAACATTCATCATAGGCTGTTTTGAATGTCCCCTGGCAGTTCTTACAAGTTTCCAGAACATTTTAATATTTGCCTGGAAATTATCCGATATTCTTCTATCATTCTTATCCGTTCTTTCTTGCTTTTTTCTTTCAACTACTTCTTTTACTCTCTTATTAAGATGTCTAAAGACTGCCTTTTTTCTTTCAATATCATCATTCGTACCGCTAGAATTACCAGCCTTTGTTGCTAGTAAATCTAGCCATGCTCTCTTCTTTGCTTCAACTTCCATACGTACCTCATAACGTATTATTTTTCCTTTCATTCTTTCTCTTACTAACACCACATACTTCGGTAGCTGCATCCACTAAACCTTTCTTTACATTTTGCCATACATTCTCCAAGTCTAACTCCTTCATACATAATTCATCCAAACCACTTATATTTTCTTTCAGTCTATACGCGCACGCGCGCGCGTGTGTGTGTGTATGTGTGTGTGTGTATGTGTGTGTGTGTGTGATTGTTCAGTTTATCCTCTTAAAACCTAGACTTAAAAGAAATGAGTAAGAAAGTATTTCATGCTAATTTCGAGTTCTTTTAGGTTAAAATAAAACTGAGGATTTGTTTTCTTAATATTATTATTATTAGAAAAAAAATGGATACACATATGTTTACTTCGGGATTTAACCTTTCTCTTACTGCGCCCGCCGTAACAAAAAACAGCTTTGTACAGGGGCCTCTGTCGTAGCGCCCGCCATCACAAAAAACAGCTTTGTCACCTCAGCTGGCGGCACTTGTTATAAACATTTATGTTTCTCAC